CAAGAGAAAAGCTTTGTGCAGAAGACAGATTTTTTGGAAATTGGTCCAAGACTGAAACAAACTCTTGCAGGGTCTAAGAACAATCATAATCCCTATCACTTTCCATTTCCAAGTGCAAGGAGTGCTTTTCTGATTTGACCTTTGCTAAATAATGAGATAGGGCTGTGTACATACCACATTTTAACTGTTTAAAAATTCCTGGAAACAGGGAAATTAGAGAAAGCCACTTGTGACAGATGATAGTTATGTTGCTTAATGCACTTTTGAAAGGAACTCATACATTGTGATGATAAGGGTGGTATAAAACCTGGATAGAACAAAAGAGACTAAAAATTTAAAAACATACAGTAAATAGCTATAGTAATTTAAGCTGTTAGAAGTGCATCAGTGAAAACAAGTTCACCATTTTTGAAACATTTAAGATGGTCACAGTTAAACTAAAATGACACTATTAAGTGATTTTTCTTTCTAGCAATGTTTAACACAGAAGAACAGGTCACTCATCTCATGCTGTGTGGTTCATTAATAGCTGTCCCCCTATGGTTGTTCCACCCTTGGTGCATGGGCAACCTACATGACCTTCATAGGAAATTTTCATCAGTAGTGTCCACTCAGCACATGCATGCATCCTTGGTATCTTTTTGCCCTGCACTGAGGCTATATCTGGCTGCATCGGGAACCACTCTTCATTCTCACTGAGCTACTGAATCTCACTTATGCAACAAGGACACCCTCTCCTGGTGGAATATGGACACCACCTTTTGGTAAGATCAAGTCTTGAGTAGCCTATTCACGACAGCTTGGTGACAGATAAGCAGCTGCTACTGATAGAACCTTCGAGAACCTCAGAATTGAGCACAGGCTGATGGGAGCATTCAATACTGAAAATGATTCCGGCCTTCACTAATCAGAAGAATCTCTTGTGAAAGGAATGCTTTGTTACATGTAAGTGCGTGTCCTGGAGGTCGAGAGCCAAGTAACAATTCCCCGTATCTAGAGAAGGAATTATAGCCACCAGGATAATCATCCTGAACTTTTGGGGGTCTCATGAATTTGGACAGATATCTAGAATTGGTCTCCACTCTCCATTCCTCTGTAATACAAGGATATAGTTCAAAAGAAAATCCCTTTCCCTTTTGTCAGGCGGGTACCAGTTCTAGTGCATCTAATAGAAGTGTTCATTTCCTTCCTTAGTAGGGGCTTGTGAAAGGGGTCTCTGAAGGGTCAGGGAATGGGAATGAGAAGCGAGGAAGAAAAGAAAGTGATATGGATGGTGTAACCTAGTAATATTACTTCCAGCACCCATCTGTCTAAAGATATACAATCCCAGGCATTCTAGAAATAGGAGAAGATAAGCAAAACTATGAAGCTAGTAAGCTAATGAAGGAGGAAATTTGAACTTATGCCTGTCCCATCAAAACTACTGCTATGATGATGACACCTGTTATGAATCCATGTCGGATAGATTAGACTGTCTTTCTGGAACCTGCCTTTCTTCCTGTGGTTCTGTGGATCTCTGTAATCTGGAGAATTGTACAGGATGGGATTTCACAGCCCCTTTGTGTGATCCATATTTCATATAGCTGGTAAAGTTGTACTTGGCCATCAACGATTAGTAATTTGTAATGAGTAAATGCAGCATAGCCAATGAGTACACCTTCCTTCCCAGGAGATCCAGGAGTTTTTGGTCTGTTAATAGGGTGAATTTATAATAGCAATTTGCTCCATTCATCCACTGCATCAACGACCAGAGAATTGGGAGGTGAGCGAAGAAAAGGAATTCAGATTTTTTGTGGGAACATATTTCATGTGGTACCTCTTACAAGTGGGTATTACGAAGCCAGGGTTTGCCAGATGATCCGAACAGGTCCAGTAGAGTCTCATTAACAGAAGGGGAAACTCTAGATGGTGTTGGAGCATAGAATGCCCAACAGCTTGTGCTGCAGTTCTCCAGCCTTCACAAGGAGTATCTGCAGAGTTTGGCACTTGATTAGCAAGCTCCTGAACTGGCTATGGAAAGAAGGGGAGGCATCAGGGCCACATCTAGCAAAGAGGACAAGATGGCGGTTTGAGACGTATCCACATTGGCCTCTTGCACCTCAGAATATTTTCTCCTGTCCTGGGGTAGGATGAGGGAAAAGCTTAGATCTCCCTATCATCCCAATGGGATAAGGCCAGGCCCCTGGAAAGCTGATGATAAGGGTCCCAAGATGGCCCACAGAGAAGGGGATGGAATGCAGGATTGCTCCCGGCAGGAATGAGGAGATCCTAGAGCATTTTCCCTGCCCCTTCAGGAGAAGGGATTAGTGTGAGGGTGTACTGAAGAATGGAAGCAGCAAAGGATAGGCCATTATCAACATCCTTCTTCTAATGGTGGATACTCTTAGGGCTCGTCTACACTGGCCCCTTTTCCGGAAGGGGCATGTTAATTTCACCTATCGTAGTAGGGAAATCCGCGGGGGATTTAAATATCCCCCGCGGCATTTAAATAAAAATGTCCGCCGCTTTTTTCCGGCTTTTAAAAAAGCCGGAAAAGAGCGTCTACACTGGCCCCGATCCTCCGGAAAAAGCACCCTTTTCCGGAGGCTCTTATTCCTACTTCAAAGTAGGAATAAGAGCCTACTTCAAAGTAGGAATAAGAGCCTCCGGAAAAGGGCGCTTTTTCCGGAGGATCGGGGCCAGTGTAGACGCTTTTTTAAAAGCCGGAAAAAAGCGGCGGACATTTTTATTTAAATGCCGCGGGGGATATTTAAATCCCCCGCGGATTTCCCTACGACGACTGGTGAAATTTACATGCCCCTTCCGGAAAAGGGGCCAGTGTAGACGTAGCCTTAGAGAAAAGGGGGACATGGTATCAGGAATGCAAAAGGATCTAGAGACAGAGAGGTTCTTGGCAGCAAAAGCTGTTGACTACCTGCCAGCAATGGAGACTTGGAGACTCTGGTTGAGAAGTCACTGCCAAGTCTCTCTAGTAGATAAAGTGCTATAGTATTGAATGGCATTGTTTGTCCTTGTCCAATAAAACCTGCAGCTTAAGGTGCTTTGAAGCTGGCATTGATGAGGTTGGAGGGTATATCACATTGTGACATTTCATAAGGGCATCAAGAGAGGAGTCAGACTTGACAGTATAGATCTTGTTAGATGCTGTCCCCAGCCAAGGTACCAGAATCTTCCTAGAGCCCAGCTTCCTAAAACTGTGTTTTCTAATGTTTCCCCCAGCAGGGCCTTTCCCATTTATGGTGCCAAGTCTTGAGGAAGACCTCTTTGAGGCTGTATATCAGGATGGAGACAGAAGTTTTTTTGAGGGAAAATCCCTGAGAAGGGAACTAGATTTCCTCTTCTGAATTCATTTGGGAGGAGAGCTCTGAGCACTATTTCTTGCTAGGAAAATGTTGCACCAAGGCAGAAGGAGCACTAGAAACTCGTGAAGACCGATATTCAGTGGGGTCCTGGCCTGGTTCCAAAAGAGGGCAGAAGATATGCTCTATTGTGAGGAGCTGACATTTGACTTTAGTTATTTCCAAACCCTAGATTTCAGAACTAGATGGAAGTTGCACTCTGCAGCATGTCTGACTCACCCAGGCAGCAAATGCACTTGAACTTCTGTCACCCACTGGGATGGCATTTTTACACAAGAGACAGTTTTTAAACTCTGGTGAACCAGTCCTCTGCCTCACAGAGGACAGGAACAGAACAAGTCTTTATAAGCAAACAGGGAGAGATTTTTTATTTGTTTTAAACACTAAAGTAACTACAACTAACAAACCAATTAACTAAGCTCCATAACTGAAGTAGGCGAGAAAGGAACACACTAGCTCCGCCTCAAACTGAGGCAGTTGAGAAGGAACAGAGGGGGTGATTCAACCTCACACCCTGATAAAGCCTCAGTGCAGGGCACAAGATACTAACAGCGTATACACAGGCCAAATGGAGACTGCTAATAGAACTCTCCAATCAAGGATGCATTAGGAACATGTGCACCAAGAATAGAGCATTCATAGGGAAACTACTAGAAAAACCACCAAACTTTTTTATATTATTAATCTTATGGAAAATTGGCAGAAATGTATTTGGCACAAAAATGCTGTGAATATAACCTGAAAATGTAATTATCTTTAAGAATTTTTAGTCCCTCTCCCCCATCAATTTGTGAGTTTCATTTTCATTTTTATATAAGTCTTTGAATAAAAGTAAATCATACAGATAATATTGTACTATGAAACACAAGCAGAAGAAATCTTCCAATATAGATTTTCTTGATGGATGGGTTTTAATTACAGGCAGTCTCCGGGTTACGTACAAGATAGGGACTGTAGGTTTGTTTCAACAGTTTCAACAGTGGCTGATCAGTTTCAACAGTGGCTGAATCTGGACGCCAGTTCTGACTTACATACAGATTCAACTTAAGAACCCCAGGCATCCCCAAATCAGCTGCTGCTGAAACTGATCAGCAGCTGATTCCAGGAAGCCCGGGGCAGAGCAACTCTGCCTCAGGCTTCCTGTAGTCACACACGGGCAGCGGGCAGCTTTGCTCAGGCGTAACTCGGGGACTGCCTGTACTAAACATGTCATAGCCTATAATTTTTAAATAAACTTTAAGAGCAGAAAACAGACTGTGATTCTCCAAATGGAGTTGGGTTTTCATTTGTTTATTGTTTTCATTTAAATGAACAGACATCCAAATCCACAAAAGGGCTCTATACAATAGAAAATGCTTGTAGTGCTGCATTCTAGGCTGCAGTCCTGGATGGTGGGTGAACTCTAGGGTTACATAGTCTAGCCCAATGTTTCTCAATTTGTTTTTTATAAAGTACCCCCTTTAAAAAAAAACAAGTACCCCCAGTACCTACAGTTCTCAGACACAAACAAATCTTTCTCTACCATTGCAATACATTTGTTTAAACAACTTAATTGTAGCTGGGTGAGCGATGAAATGTTTGGGTGTAAAAAGTATAAAAATAATAAAGCGCTGTCAAACTTAAAACAAAAATTCGGTTTTCTCCAAATTTCAGTTGTATTGACGTACCCCTCCCACCCCCCGACTTCTTTCTAGAACCCATAAGGGTACTCATACCACTGAGTGAGAAACACTGGTCTAGCCCACAGCCTGGCCTGCAACTTTTGCTTCCAGAGGACTCCCCCGCCCTTCCCCCTGGAAGCACCCACCATCAGGTAGATGGATGGGTGGTGCATTATCCTCTCCCAGAGCTAGGCAGGTAGGTAGCATCACCTCCTCTCCCCCATCTCCAAAGCACTGGGATGGCAGTGCCTCCCATTAAGCTCAGTGCAGGAGCATTGGACGAAGTCCCTGGATGCAGGCTGGCCCCATTAGCCTCAGCCTGGGTTCTTGGATATGGGGAAGAACCCCCTGCTGCATAGCACTAGGAAGCAAGAGGGTGTCTGAGAACAGAGCATGGGCCATGCCAGACAAGGCCATTTGGGGAGGCTCAACTTTCCTCTTGCCTTTTATACCATGTTGCCCGGGCAACATTTGTTGGATATAAAAGAGAAAGAGTCACATACTATGCGAAGCACCCTTAAAGTTGTTTCCTCTTTCATGCTCTACTGCTCTCAATTTTTCTTTCCAGGCAGAATATTTATTTTTAAGACTTTTATGTTTCATGCTAAGCAGACTAACTGAATCAACTTTCTTCCAAGCCTAATTAACATATAATACTCAAGTGGTGCTGAGTTTTCTGCTTCTGAGACAAGACTGGCGGGAAGTATCTCTTCAAAATGGGGTGCAGTTTGCACAACTGTATAACACAAAAGGTCTATGCAGCTCCCATAAGTCAGCAGTAGCAGAGGTAAATTTAGAGAGTTCTAAAATACACAAAATACAGACATTTCACTTGACTGCTAGCTACTGCTGCTTTAAACAAATCTAATCTACAATTTCTCTTCCATAAAAACACCATCTCAGGCTAAGTTTTTAAGGAAGAGGTTGATGCAGATATTTCTTAACTTATAATGCTATCAACTAAAGCCTAATACACACAGCTCTGTTCTGGGGACGTTCTGAGAGATTTCTACAGAATGAAAGGTTACTTTGAATAAGCTCCTGGTGCACATTTCTGCCATTTTCATTAATTTGCCATACACACAAAGTTGCATTGTATTAACCTAAAATAATTACATTTTAGTATAGTGAGGTGATTTTGTTTTTTAGTTGAAGAACAATATTATATTTAGTAGAAGCTGCTGTAGCTAAAAAAGCTTCACAGTAAAAGGTAATAGATACAGTAGTACACTCTTATTAGGTATATTTCTGCAGTCATTTCAATTTCCTTAGGACTTTACTGAAATGTCTTTAAAGCTCATTTTCCTGCAGGAAATAAGCCTTTAATATGATAAATTCATTTGTTTAAATATCACATACAATTAATAATTATTAGTATTAAATAATGCAAACTTTCTGTAATTTCACAGACACAACACTCCTAAACTAATTATTTTTTCTTTTCCAACCAAAAAGCCTGGGTAAGAATTGTTTGGAAAATGAGTATCAGGCAACTATGCAAGAGCAGTGCTTGGTATACATTTTACTAAATAGCAGTCACTGTCCTAGATAAACCAGCCAGTTGAATATAAGAGGTTAGACTCAAATGGGGTAAACTAACAAGTTACAAAAACCAGCTGTTGAATATTACTCAGAAGTGATATGCAGCACTGAATTCTTACTAACACTTGGCACATTTATAATGTTTTACATCTTTGAGGTGCTGTACAAATGTTAATTATAGAAAGAATGTGATTACTCAAAGAGTGGATATATTTCCAAATGTGGAAGGTACCCAGAGGAATGGCACTATTATAGCAGAGATAACAGCAGGAGGAAATGTAAATATTTAGGAATGACTGAATTTTATATATAGCAAATAGAATTTGCTATTATAGAACTGACATGTAAGACTACAGATTTCATGAAGAGAGTGCCTAGAAATTACATTACCACCATTCATATAACAGATTTCTGTAGCCATAAATAATCAAATTTGGAATCAAAGGGCTCCATAGCCTGAATTCAGGTTGTCTAACTTAGAAATCATGTGGAATGCACAGGGATCAAAATCACTGTAATTTTCAAAACAAGTGACTTCCAAGGACATCATCCTTAGACATCAATGCGAATTCCATGCTTTATAGACATTAGTTCTCCAGTACCTGTTAAATACATAACAAATGAACACAGATGAGGTAAAGATGCTGTGATTGCCACATAAAGCCAGTACGGCAAAGGAGCAGTTTTTCCAAATGGACAGATCCAGAGGCCATGACGAATTCCATCACGGACATGGTGAGAAGTCCAGGATATACACAACATCCAGGGAAGAAAGCACCATGAGTCCTTAAGCCTGAAAAGGTGCATAATAAACTTTAATGTCACAGCCACAACAGGAATCACAGTAGAACAATGAAGAAGTGGTCTTTGTGGAAGAGTCAGAGCAGCCTGTGGAAAGGAAAAATACAGTTGGCGACTAATACCATCAACAACGTAAAAATTCTTCTTGGATGTTTACAGATGGAATATCAAGTGAACGGAAACCATCTGTTTCCCACAGAAGTGTAAATAAAAACTGTTTTTTCTATTATCTTTATTTCCCTCAGGAATTGAGCAAACTGTTCTTATCTACTATGCTGCTGTGGTGAAATTCAATATACCACATATAAGACAATTAATAGGAAATACACAACTGTATAATATACTATTATTTTCATAAAAAACTAAAGGCATCTTGTATTACATTAAATTTATTGCACTGAAATATATTATATTTGTCAATATTAGATATAATTTATTTAATGATAGAGGTAATTTCCAACAAAGCTAAGTGAAAAAAAAATCCAATTAAAAATGACCCCACACTAATTTCGGCCATCTTCTTGGTCAGTATTCCTTGTTTATGCACAAAGAACATTTCCAAATGCTAAATAATTGTTTATATGTATAGTTAAGGTCAACATTACATTTTTAAAACCAAATGTTGGTTAACAACCATTACACTGAACTTGCTTAATATTAATTCAAAACCAAGAAGATATCAGCTTCTATTGACATATTTGTCAAGATAGAATAAAAGCGTAAGATTTTGCTTAAGATGAGATCAAATGGACTGTTTGTCACAAGAGGATCAATACATGTTTACCATATATGTATGTAGGAGGAAAACATGCAAATGAGCCTATTAGAAATATCTAAAACTGTCTCCATTAGGTATGCAGCCATACATTTCTTTAGCATGACAATTTTTTCCAACTAATATTCTAAAAGGTAAAGAAAAATAGTTCAAAAGAACTACTGATTTCCCAGGTAATCGGAAAGCAAGGATTTGTATCCTCACTGAATGTCTGCAACATGAATTCAAGTAGAGTTTGTTAACAAGGCAGGATGCATTCACTCTAACGGAAATATAAGCGTTTCAGTTTGCTGAAGAGGATTTTGCAGCAACTAAAGAAGAAACTATCCACAAAGAATCCTTCCCAGGTTTTACACAGAGATCACTATATGATGGGACGGGCTTCAGGAGTTAATAATTGCTTTGTGTCATGTAGTTTAAACATAATCAATAAAGCTAAACACATATGTACTCTTCACTGCAGAAGAATACTTTGATTTATGGTGCTCTGAAAAAAATCTAATAATTTTGAGAAATATTTTTCTAGACGGTAACTGCACAGACAAGTTCTAGACCAGCACTCAACAGCTTTAAGTACAAATTAAAAACATAATACTATTGTAGAACCCAGAGCAAGTTAAAAAAATAGAAACTTTGTCTTGCCTGAACTTCAATAGCAACAATTTTCTTTTTCTATATAATAAACGGTAGTGGCAAGATTCCAGACAACTGGTCCCCTCCATCCACATGGAAACATTTTTTGTTGGCATTCTTTTATCAATGAGAGACTTGGGAATTGCAGCCTACGATGTTGATGGTTTGCAATGTCTCATGTGACTGAATAGCCCAATCCAAGTTATTCATGATCTTTGACAATTATTGCAAATATATATATCTTGATTGGAAATTTGCTTCCTATGGGCTCTTTACTCTTCATGCTGTAGGAATCTACTTCTGTCAGGGACGTCGATACATAGATAGAGAGGATGGCGACACTGGTTATGATCACTTATCAAGATTTCTCATTGGTCAGGATTAAAGCCAAATTCCTTCATAACATGGATACAAACCACTAGCAAAAGCTGAGCAGCTAACAAGTTATTTAGTGCTTTGTGGAGGTCAAGAAAAGATTAGGCAGTTCAGGCTGGACGTCCCAAAACTGGGATTCCCTCATCCAGCAATATCCGTGGTCCGCCAAGACCACAGATGTTCCTGGACTAGGGAGTTCTGGCTGGGAGCCCCAGTGGTAAGAGGGCTGGCGGCTCAGAGCCTGGTGGGACTGGGGCTGGCACCGGAGCCCCAGGAGCACAGCAGGGGCTGTGGCAGCCCTAGTAGCAGGGCCAGGGACATGGCAGTTGCTGCTGCTGCAGAGCAGGGCCAGGGTTCGAGATGCAGCAGCCACGGTAGCCCCAATAATGGAGCTGGGGCTGGAGACGCGGCAGCCCTGATAGCGGGGCTGGGGTCAGGGCAGTCTGGGCTGCTGGGGCCCCAGCAGCATGGCAGCTCAGTGGGGGGGGTGTGTGGCTAGGGCTGGCAGTAGAAAGGAAAGGTGGTCTGGGGAGTGGATATCAGGGGACCTCCTCTAGTCTGGCAAATTCCCTTGTTCGGAACTGGTCAGGTCCCGAGGGTACTGAACCACAGAGGTCCAACCTATACTTTGTGATCTCATCAACACCATCAGCTTCCTACAGAAGAAGCTTGCATATGCAGGTGATAACAGAAGAGCATATAGGGCAGGAAGAGAGGATGAGGAAGGAAACAGCAGGGGACATTGCTGAGCATAGTCCCCTTATTACTGCTGATTTTGTTCCCATGAAACCAGAAACATTAAAGAAAATACTAGTATACATCTTTAGGAAACAGACACACAGGGATGGCAAGCATATTAGGCTTTTCAGGGTGAGGGGGTTTATTTCCTATAAAGCTGAAGATAAAGTGTAAGTTTTGGCAGTTATGGTGAACAAAGCTGCAGAAGCGGGATTCATATTGATCTAATCTATAAATGATTACACAATGGAAATAATTAGAGCTCTGCGTGTATACAAATGTCTACCTGCAGACATGGATATCCGCAGATAGACACTGGTATCTGCTGATCGGCAGGGTTCTACTCCAGAGAGACACTTCAGACAATGGAGAGGAGCATAGTCCCATCACTCTTGGGAGCCAGCGCCCCATGCCAGCAGCTCCTCCCAGCCATGTGGCTGTATTGCCTCTAGCCACAGCGTCTCCAGTCTGGGGTCCTAAGCTGCTTGGCTGGGAGGAGTTGCTGGAACGGGGTGTTGGCTTCCATGAGTGACAGGACCGCGCTCCTCTCTATTGGCGGCAGTGTCTTTCAGGATTAGAGCCCTGCTGATCAGCAGATACTGTATCTACACAGGGCTCTAGAAATAACAAAAAAATAGGGTTGTTGATTAATTGCAGTTAACTAATGCAATTAATTACAGTTTTAATCACATGGTTGAACAAAATGCTAATTGAAATTGTTAAATATTTGTGGATATTTTTAAACTTTTTAAAATATACTGATATCAATTACAGCCAAAGCAACGAGGAGTCCTGTGGCACCTTATAGACTAACTGAAGTGTAGGAGCATAAGCTTTCGTGGGCAAAGACCCACTTCGTCAGATGCATGTAGCGAACGAAGTGGGTCTTTGCCCACGAAAGCTTATGCTCCTACACTTCAGTTAGTCTATAAGGTGCCACAGGACTCCTCGTTGCTTTGGCTGTAATTGATATCAGTATATTTTAAAAAGTTTAAAAATATCCACAAATATTTAACAATTTCAATTAGCATTTTGTTCAACCATGTGATTAAAACTGTAATTAATTGCATTAGTTAACTGCAATTAATCAACAACCCTATTTTTTTGTTATTTCTAGAGCCCTGTGTAGATACAGTATCTGCTGATCAGCAGGGCTCTAATCCTGAAAGACACTGCCGCCAATAGAGAGGAGCGCGGTCCTGTCACTCATGGAAGCCCAAACCCCCGTCCCACAACTCCT